AAGTTTCGACTGGATTGCCGGCGCCAATCTTTTGCTATCAGAGTATGCAGATCTTAGAACTTTTCGTTCAAAACATTAAAATAGAAGAATATGAAAATAAAAGTTCAATGTTTCTAGTAGAATAAAATTCAGTTTCATAATCGAGAAACAGCGTGAGGAAAAGGAAGGTTAAAGTGAACAAATGCACGAACTATACATTAGCGATCCTTGGATCTCGTCTAGTGTTTAGGAAATTTTTCTGGTCCGATAAATCTAAGTCTAACTGTTACCGCTCGGTTATATGCATCTTAGTCCAATTTCGACAAATCGTTTTGAAAAGTTACGAAGTGGTTATCCAACTCTACAAAACTGTTTTTCATAACAATTTGTTCATGGCAATTCATCTGGTTAGATGGTACTGGTTATCAGGAAACATTACTCTCTCATGGGATACACTTATATGATTGCGTTAAAAAGCGAATGAAAAATAGTTTCTTCCGGTAGATCGCTCCATATAGTTACATAAATGGATAGATTATCCAAAAGATTTTAAAAGAAAACACAGAACCGGAAAAAAGGATTAGTTTTATTCAGTCGTAGTCAGACCAGTACATATCACTAATGAGGGGGGGGTTGATTTAATGAAGGAAAAGTCACTGGGTGCTGATTTTATCCAGTCTGTCACACGTACTCAGCATCTGCGATCACTTTGCTCTGTTTTTATGCGGTAATGTGTATAAATAGAACAGTTTTTGCGGTAGCTGTCACCAGAGACACAGAGAATGTCTTGAACAGAAGCTCCACAGTAAAACTATTCAATTCTACGCATTCGATTTTATCAGTTGTCATAATTTGCACATCATTATTTAAATATGATTGGTCCGAAAAGATTGGAAGTGCTTGGGTGGGAATATGACCCCACTACTTTTCCAACTACCATTTAACTGCCTTCCTAACCTTCACATTCATGAAAATTGATTTATCATTGTATTGCACTATTTTCAAACAAGTAAAAAGATTATGATTAATACATTATTGTAGTACGATGTACTAATGTCACAAATATTTTTCCCAATGCAGAACGGAATAGTTCCCATTGTAGAACCGGAGGTGCTTCCTGATGGCAATCATGATCTCTACACTGCAATGCGTGTGACAGAAGATGTGCTCGCATTTGTGTACAAAGCACTTGCCGATCATCATGTTTATTTGGAAGGAACTTTGTTGAAGCCGAACATGGTGACTGCGGGTCAATCTCACAGTCAGAAGTATAGCGTGGAACAGAATGCAGTCGCTACAGTACAAACATTACAAAGGACTGTTCCATGTGCCGTGCCTGGTATGTGCCATTCACCAAAACCCCAAATGTTAATATCAATTTAGTCAAGATTTTTGTATTCCGCACTTTATTTTATCTATGAAAATGAACTCAAATGTGGTCAGTGTTAGAAAAATTAAATCGTGTAACGGTCTTATAATGATTACTCAGACAGCACTGAAATGAATTTGAAGCTATGCAATTAAATGTATGCAACCGGTTAGTTCACAATCAGGTTTTAGTCAATAGTCATCTACAAACCATAGTGGCAATTCACATTCAATCACATGATTTTTGTGATACACGCGAATGTGCTGGTGTTTAGAATAAGTTATTTTTATGGATATTCATGCTAAATAATGACTTTACTCGCTCTAAATATAATTGCCATCTTGGTCGACTCTCGATCAGCGGGATCCACATGAGGGAATTGCACTGTGTTCTAACTTCAATGTGACACAAAGCACTCTATAACTCTAAATAGCTCACCTGCTCAACTTGTTTAAATTCACTCCGTACGGGGAATACGAATGATCAAAAACTTTTAATGAGCGGACCAGTTTTGCGCACAATGGGTTCATTTTTCCACTGCTTTGTGACCATATAAGCGTGATCTTTGAAAACATGATTACCTCCGTACCATCTCGTATCTCTATTATTTAACCACTCACCAGTCAGATGAGGACCTGGATGTGACAGTACTATTTGCCACCGGTCTAAGACAAGTAATTCGAATACAGCTAGTTCTTACTTGAAATTCTTATGCTACTCAACTTCTCAGTGCAAACCTGTTTGGGTAGCTGAACCTTTTCCTGTTCGTCTTTTGCAGCAATAAATTAATATGCGTTGGTCAGTAGGCAGTTCGTTCGATGGAGAAGGCTGGATACTTCGGTAAATCACTTGTACCGTTGACTTGATCAGCAAGTGAACCATATTGTCACACAGATCATCTGATCAACAACTAAAGTTTGCGATCTAAGCTCTCGGATAGACATACCGTGCCACATTAGATCTCAATAAAAATTGTGCATAACACTGAGTCGTAATATACCTCAGGAGTGAAATTTTAAAGTCGATTGGCTGAGGAAAGAAAAGAGATGAAACTTCCTGAACCTTGCTAGTCTAGAATCATGAGGCTCGTCCGAAAGCATATTAACTTTGTTGCCCTGACTGCAGAAACTACCACGAAACCTCGATAGGTCTAAGGAGGAGGTGAGACAAAGGCGATTAGTCACATCAAGGTAAAAACCGTTGTTCAAAACACATGGTATTCAAAAATACCACTTGGGGTAACGAAAATCTACCAAGGAATGCGAACAACACACGAACAAAGTAGATAGATCATGCGAATTTCCATTGATGATGTAAAAACTCGGTGTAATGATAATACTGGTTCAACAGAAGAAGGACGTCTTGAGATTTTCAACGAAAAACTTGCAACGTATGCGTGTGACTGTTTGTGTGCATTGAGGATTCACGAAGTGTCAGCAAGGTAAGCGTTGTTAGTCACTAAATCACGCTTTCCCACATTTATTCTCCACAGGGAAACAATTAGATCCGACGAATCATTTTATTCTTTTTGATTTTATACATTCTATCAGAGTCCTATACGACTGACTAATATTGATAAGTGAAGATATATATATATATCTATATCATGTGTTTCGGGACGAATCCCAACGCTGAATTGCGAGGATTTGATCGGTCTTCACGAGCACAAAACTGCAGTATCTTTTCGTCATTGTTACGCATACAATCTGAATTTCTTTGTTGTTGAATTGAATCAATTGGAATTAACCTCACGCACAACGTCAATTAGAAAATATCAGTCAACGATCTCCGCAAAGAACGTTGGTGGACGGAAGCACAATTTTCGTTGTTCAGTTAATAGTGCGACAAAAAAGGTAACAACTCTCGACTGGGTTGTAAACATTGAGCTTTATGATCTGTTTGAGATTCACAATATTATTCTTAATTTCTGGTTTACTGAGTAACCACAACAAACATTGGAACTGAATCAATATGGTACATTGAAATTGGTTCACCTTACTGAGGAATAGAAAGTGGTATAAACCACAACACTAAACTATTAGACTATTGATTTCAAAACTGTAGCAGTCATAAAGATATACCAATTATTTTACTTACATTTTCCTGAGTGTGCAATAAAGATTTAATAGATATTTTAGAAGGGGAACTGAGGTGAATTAGATATTGTCAACCACCAAACTTAGAGGTGAGGTCAATACTCGAGACCTTCAAGAGAAAGGAGTACAGAAATGAGATGAATGGCTACAAGGCACAATTAAAATGAATAAGTTTATTGATACTTGTATGCGTTATTAGTTCAGAAATTCTTTTAAGGATAAAGTTTGTCAAAGTCTCCAGCTACAATTATTCGCAAATCGACACCCCTCAATCTAATTTCATGGCTACATTAATTTCGACTGTTATGTTCTCAAGAGCCTTTTTAATTTTCACTGGTTGATGGCGCTGATGGCAAACTGTTGTATGATGTTGATCTCTTTCCCTAGGAGTTCATTGATTCTTCGTCCATGAAATGCATCTACTGTGTGACGTTATTGTATGATTAACGTGTAACTCAGGGTTCCGGCTTGTAACTCAAATAATCGTGATTTGAGTCCTGGTAAGGGCAAGATGGACATACTGCTGATAAATACCAACAAAACCGAAAGAGCTGTTCATTGATATTTTTCACCTATTACACAGAGAAATCTCATCCCACATAAAATGCAATGCAATTAACGTGTGGGCTATGAATGAATCTTCAAATGACTGAAACCCACAACGAATATACAACAAGACTACAGGCAAGTCATGTGGAATCCAAAGGGCTCAGTCAAATCGAAGTAGTTTAACATAGCGTATTTGTTGCACAAAGTGGTTTAAAACCGTGGTTCGCAATGTTTTGCGTCCATATTCAAAAATGGAGCGTATTTATGTGGAAATGAAAAGTGACATGAATAAGCATGCTGTGCTTTGCTTTTTTCCAATTACAGGCATTGTGTTCCTGTCTGGTGGTATGTCCGAAATTGAAGCCACACAAAATCTGAACGCGATCAATTGTGTACCAGGTCGAAAACCGTGGGCCTTGACATTCAGTTTCGGACGAGCTTTGCAAGCTTCTGTGATTCAAACGTGGGATGGCAAAAAGACGAATGTTGTTAGCGCACAACAAGAACTGCTCAAATTGGCCCAGGTAAGTGAGATAATCGCATTATTTTATTTCACCGAATTTTCGATTTTAGCACAAAGCAGATGCATAGAACACCCAACGGTGTTGCGAACCGGCAATAGAAAACGTTGCAATAAATGTACAATCAATAGACTTGATGTAAATAATTTTTCGTTTTTCACCATTCGCATTTCAACTTCTACCAAACCAAATTTGTTAAATAAAGTCTTAAATTAATTAAGATTTTGTACACTAGTAATGAAGGATTCCATTTGATCATATGATAAATTCATCGTGTAAATGAAGCGCGAGTTGGAAAGCTAGGCAGCCCTGGACAGCTGTTTCGACCTGGTCGGGTCTTATAGGCGATGCTAATCCTTTGGCCCATACAACGTGCATAGGCATAAGTTTGATCAGCCGCCCGGTTTTCAATTGGATAGTATGCTTTCATTCTACCCGTGAGGTCCCGGATTTGATCCCCCTCTAACCAAGTGCTTAGTGCTCGTTAAAAGGAGGATACGTACGTGAGTTTCGAATTTCTGCAGTGAGATTGTGAATATCCATGTCAGTTTATGGAATGACTTGTGCACCGTTTTCTCCAAACGAATCGCTGTCCGGAAGGATAAGGGAATTGCATAGGCTTTCTGATATACTCAATAAAACAAGGTTCGAATACTATCTAAGAACCTCTACAAAGAAGATAATGGTTTACCCATATACGGTAGGGAAAAAGCGAAACATTGACAGAAGGTAAGAATATTTTTTTAGTTTTTACCACACATTGGAGACATCACTCAAATGAGAGAAGTTTAACGGCACAAATTATTGTCTTTCTATCTCATCATCTGTTACGTCACTACTGAAGGTGGTTATAAATCACATGCTATCAAAGACATCTAAGTTACTCTTTTTGACACTGGTTTTTAAAGCGTGATTCAAAAGGAATTTGTGAGTATTCTTCATTTTGTCAGATGTTACCTAATCAATGGACGTTGTAACCAGATAATTCATTTCTAGAGTGTTGCATGTGGATTGAAAAATTTACAACCATTCGTTCTGGTCCAAATGTCATGCAAGCGCAGAGGGACGCATTTACATATATGTGAAAAAATACATGTGGTATAGATGAATCATTCGCATGAGGAGAATTGAACAAAAAGTGAAGCGGAATTCATTGATCTGTAGATTCAATGTGCTGGAGAAAGCATTTGTGCACAGAAGCATTTGGTGTTTGTTTGATCGTTCCATCACGTTGTTAGACAAAATCCAGGCTGAATGTTCGGTTCACACTTAAAACACAACTAACGAAAAATCATCGGAGATAAAAATGATGCTCAGTTGAATGGCTTCTATCATGGATAATTTCCACAATTCAAATGCTGCTCTTACAGAGGAGATACATTCATTTTCATCTGCTGATTGTTTGCACGCGTTTCATAACAAGCTAAGCTGACATCTGCAACGCCTGTGAAATGACGATGCTGTGTTTTATTCGGTATGAATTCTTCTTCTTTTTGTTTTCTATTGTTTTCAAGCTAGCTCACTGTCAAACTACCAAAAAATGAGCGGGCTTTCTTTCCCTCTGAATTATGGCGTTTAGGTCCGTAATCGGGTCACGATGCGGATTCTGTTTTGTTGCACCTGTTGACCCTTCAGTCTTATCTACCTAAACACGAGATGCAGTTCGTTTTGCACTGAACATGTCACCGCGGTTAGTGATCAAGCGTTTGCAAACAAATTGCCCAACTCAGTTAGCAAGAAAATAATAAATTCAGTCCAACTGAGCGACAAAAACAGATTTCAATAATTTGCGGAGGGTTAGATGTCACAATTACTACAAGAAGAAACATGCTACCACGTACATCACTGCTATTCCTCATTTGTCTGCTACTTTTAACATTGCAATTTATTTCAAAAATGGAAAAGAATGAGAGAAAATGCCATCTTCTTCACATTCCCGTTATTGTGAACAAGGGGAAGTTTGAACTACCTATTAATGAGACTTTCGTAGTCAAATTAGACTCTCTCTGTCCCTCCCTCTGTGTATGCGTACATTTACACAACATACCAATCTTTACATAGATTCTCTCAATCGAATAAAACCTCGAGAACTTTCTCTCAGGGATTTGTTTTCTGGATTTTTTGCTCCTAAATCTTTATTACAATAGAATCGATAAAATGAATTTTAGACAAACTATATTCGAACTTCAAATAATCCTCAAAACCCTTTTTGTTTGTCATAAGCATTCTTCCGTCAGCTTCCTATAGATAGACTATCAAGGATAGCCTAGCAAACATTCCGGAAAAATTAGTATTCACTTGGGAAAAACTAGCCTTTTTGGAATCAAAAGACAAACAATATTAACGAGACAGTATGTTTTTGTAACTTTGCCTTTAGGCACTTTCTGTTATGTAAGTTTGCATATAAAATAGAAATAAACGTAATTAGCTCATTAAGGTTAAATGGAAAAGAACAAAAACGCCTGTCATGTTCCTTAGGGGCGCATGAAAAAAGATGGGAAGGAGCACCTAGGACAATTCTGGAAGTCTCAGATGACCTTTTTCATGTGCGACGTGTCACACCATTTTGCTATCAAAGTATTTTACTTAACATAACATTGGATAATTTTAACCAAGCTCAACCATCAATCAGTTTTATGAATGAAACAGAGGATCGGGATATCTTTCACTTCCATTAACCTAAAGAAGAGACCTAGTGGAAAAATCTTCTGTTCAACTTTTTGCGAACCAACATGGAACGGTCAATATATTTGTTTCCAAAGTGACGTTCCAATCCCATTTAAACGAAATCAAGTACAATGTCTGGCCTCTTAGAATTTGAGTGCTCAGCTCCCAGAATCTAGTAGATAAAGAAATTGAAAACATCAAATCTACACTCCGGAATAATAGATACCCTGAGCGTTTCATCGAGAAGAACGTTGCAGAAAAGCCCACACTACCAAAAGCAACATCGACCACAAACAAAGAACCGTTCTTGCAAATCCTGTTCAAGGGAAACTCGAATGGTAATCTACTGAGAAGACATTTTTCATTCCGAATGTTGCCGTAACACAGAAAGTTAAAGTGGATATGGGTATCTCTTTTTCTTTCGGGCATACTGATTGTTCTCCCTATCATGTTGAGAACGCACTGCTAGGTGGCAGATGTATGAATTCGACTTTGAAATGTTTCACTTTCTTGGAGGTTCAATGGCGAACAAATATTAAGAACTGATTTTCCGACTAAAAGCTAAACGACAGTGTGGAACAGAGCATGGTCCATTCTTCTGTTGATTCATCAATTTTTCAGACGAGGTGACAAAATACGTTTTTTTTCGTGTGGTGCTTACAGAGACACAGATATGTAGGTCTTATGAGGTGTTCTAAACGGTTGCTGCGAAACGTTTCACAAACCTGCCGCACGGTAATGAGTCAGGAGAGCCATGCCGCCATCGAACTCAAAAACAGCGCCAAATTTTGTGCAAATCGTAAAAAAGTGTCTTTAACATCGACAAAATATGCTCTATAAAATTGATGAGTTTATAGGACAATGCAATACGTCCTGTTACATGCGAGGTTTATTAATTTTTGGTCGAAAAAGGAAATCTTTCGTTCAGTGATAAGTCTCCGGAACCTCTGAGACTATCCAATGGAGTTCTCCGCATACTGTTATGGACAGACAAATCACAAAACTTCCCTCCGGTTTCCCATGCAATACTAAAGTTTGAAATGATTCTTTTCTCATCGAGTTATTTTTTATTCTATGGAAATTATGCATGAATCTTGAAATCAGCTCGTTAGCATTTTTCTATGCTTCACATGACCTAGATCGCCTCAACCAATTTAGTAGACTCAGCTGCCACTGAACCAGTCAGAATAACACCACTGATTACTTTATTCCCAAGCACCGAAAATTTTTCTTTTTTACAGGCAAACGGTGCTGCAGCTTTGGGCAAATTCGAGGGCAATTTGCAAACCGCACTAGGTGGACAATCCCTGTTTGTGGCCAATCATACTTACTAGATGAATGCAACTCTTTTCAGACCAAACCGATACCACAACCATTGTCATCATGAAAATCACCATAACAACTGAAACCCACCCCCTGAATTCCGCTGCCTGACATGTAAATGAGGAGAATTTTATCTAACCATATTCTGATCATTATTTTGAGATTGGATAATCTGGCCTTTTCCGTTCATTCTGGTCGTACGCCAAGAACCTTACTGAGGTTTTGAATGATCGGCCACGAATAAAGATAATATATTTCACTGAAAAAACCACACATTATTTTGATTTACTTGGGATGGGGATTCGTTTAAGGAATATTGTGTGAGTAATATGAGGGCGACAGGGTGCTAGATGTCGCTAAACTTAAAAGATCAATTTTTCACTGTCGCATTTCAACGTACTTTATTGTACCAAACGATGACTTAAACGTTCTTTGTATATTTTGCTAATGATCCTTGATGCTTAGGGTCGAATCCCAGTGAATACCCCCCTTTAAGGAAGAATATATTTATTGCTTTCAAAGTTGTTTAGTGATGACCAAGAAACTCAGTATGCATATGTGATGGATATGCTCGGCCAATAGCCTCCAACTTGTCCCGTGAGCTCCCTCCGTGTCACTGATTTTTCACAAAGGTACGGTAATCCCTACTCCATTCAGATAGAAGCTGCTTACAATCGCATCATTATTCTGCAGTATATGAAGTTTTTCACAGGATCCAGTGTGAAAAATCTCACTATAAGTTGTTTTCTCGTTAGAGTGTTTTATATAGGCATTTTTTACTTAAATAGTAACCAACTTCAGATTTGTTATCATTCCTGTTATCTCCTTTTATTCAATGTATCCGTTAGACCTTCTTTTCACCCTGTACTATATGCCAATCCACCCATATATATCCCCTGTTATTGTTATTATTGCTGTGGCGTTGGCATCACGCTTGCCCGCAAGCTGGTGATTAATATATATCTTTTGATGTTCGGGCTGGTGTACGCGGCAGGAAGTCCCCCGTGAAGAAATGCACCTGACAACCGAACATGAGCTGAGTCTCGGTGCTGGCTAGAACCGTCCAAAACAGGAGGTTCTCCGTGGAGAGCGCTAACCCGATAACCTACAAGTGAAGAAAAATACAAACACCATGAACCAGAAGGTTCAGTGAGAACAGCGCAAATACTCAGATACACACTAGGGTCAGCACATCCCATCTCACCACAACGACCAAATAAAAAATCAATCAATCAATGCGCGTAATGTGTGAAAGACCATTTAAAAAAAGGGTTTGAAAACCTCAAGGATTCAACTAAAGCATTCATCCTTTGGGGGGTAGTGCTTAATTGTGCATGCCACAGGGTTACAGTGAGCACTTAGCATGCATACATACTGTGGTTGCTTAAGGTTTGAGGCTTCGAATCCCACCGTAGCCGCCCATCTACACCACTTGTTCATTTTCCCCTGAGACAATTTAATTTGCAGCAGTCATCCACTTCCCGAAAATCGTTTGCAGTCTTCAGGATTGAGGGCAGAGGGCAGGGTACCCGTGTAAGCCCCATCACC